GTCTAATTTTAATATTTTTTTTTTTGTTTGAGAAATAGCTAAAAAAGTTCAATTAATTGGATAGAAAAGATGCTCTTTTAAGTAATTTATTATTTTTGTGCTGAAATTGAAAGCTGATCAATCCTTTTTCCTTTCCTTCTTTTGAAAAAAAAAATAAATAAAAATAAAATATATTGCAAAACAGCCCCTTAATTTTGGTGGATAATTACCTTTGACCCCAGAAAGTGTTTTCTTGACTTTGAGGGCACAGCCTTCACAATCCATCCTAATCTTGACAGCCACTGTGTTCAACTGCTTCTTCTTCTTCATCTTGCTGCTGCTTAGCTTTTCAGACAAGTACTCTAATGTCCCTCCAACTCCCATTTTCTATATATATATATTATTAATTAATAATAATTAATTGAAATTGAAATATATATATATATATATTATTAATTAATAATAATTAATTGAACTCAATTAATAATATATATATATATATATATAATTTAATTAGGACTGAAAGATTGAAACTAGCTATATATTGACATGAAAAATGAAGGTTAATTTGAACTTTGTAGTTTTGAAATGATATATATAATGGTGGGTATTATAGCTTAGTAAATTTTGTTAGCACACACACATATTTATAGAGAGAGATGGACATATGTTATGTGTGGGTGTGTGCGAGTGCGCGCATTTTATGGCTAAGATTATTATTTTACTGCATGGACAAACAATTATTGTGTTGGACAAATATATATAGAGAGAGAAGGCATATGTTAGGCTATCTAATGTATGTTATGTTAGGCATTTATATTTTTCATATTTATATATGTGTATAATTGCTCGCAAGTTTCAATAAATTTTATTCAGCCAACAATTAATAATAATAGTAGTTCATTTCGTAAAAATATATATGTGTTAATTTAATAAAAATATGGTCACCAGTTAATAAAAATATGTAACTTTCAGTTACACAATGTATTTTGACATGTTCCATTTTGGATGGTGCCTATTTTTGTAGCGCTTTTTTATGTCCTAAAATTTATTTTGTTTTTCATTGCTTAAAATAAATTGTTTTGAATAAATTATTAAAATAAAAAAAAATAAGTAGTTGATTAATTTGTTAAATTATAAATAATTGACTATTTTATTTACGTCTAAGTTAATATTGACTCGTAAGTTAATAAATAATTATTTTTTGATTTATAATTTTAAATAAAAATCTTATTTTTAAAATATATTATATACCAAATTTGGAACATGCAGTGAATAAGGGTAATAACGGCAAGTTTTGTCAATATATTATGTTTCAAATTTAAATCATGCAACCAATAAAGGTAATGACCGCAATATTTGACCAAAATGATTATGTACATTAATTTAGGTGAGATTTTTCAAATTTTGGCAAAAAAAAAAATTACCTAATTTAGCAAATCTGAACTTTTATGCGGGAAACAAAATGTTTTTTTACTAATTTTTAGTTACTATTTCAAGTAAATATCATTGTCTCTTTATATATTAATATATTTACACATACAAAATGTTTTTATATTTATATATATAGGGTTAGGATTCAGTGAGAAAAAATTTTAACGAAAGAAACGAGAATAAATAAGATACACCCAATCAATACAATCAGACGGACATCCAGCAAGGGGAGGCAATTAATACGACAATTACATTGAAGGGCACTCTGGTACTTAAACAATCATCTCGCACCTCTTGGATAGTAGAGTAGAGTCAAAATTGAGTTAAAAACTTAAAATGAGCAATTAATTCAAAATGATTGGATTTTTTTAATAAATTTGTCCTAATTATATATGTTAGATAACTTAACAGTTAGGCGGGTGAGAAAAGTCATACATTTTTGTTTAAATAAATATATATACTCATGTTATATATTAAAACATTCTACTTATTAGCATTTTAATTTTAAATACAATATTTTATTTTCAAAGCATGCATATGATGAAGACAAATTTGTTTTACTTCGTTGTCAAGGGAAAAGAAGAAAATGTTGTTGTTTTATAGTAATCATTAAGTTTGTAACTGTTAACCGTCATTTCTACGTGTTGGATCGTTGTGCGACAAGCGAGGAAATTGAAGAAAGAAATGTAGGTCTCTTTATGTGGCCACGTGGAAATAGTTTAAGAAAACAAAATATATATATATTTTTTTTGGAACAAAGATGGAGGTCTAAGGCATGAAAACTACGACACTAGAACTCGATGTGGGTGAGACACCCCTCGGAAGTCGTGATCAATCCATGCATCAAGTCCTG